TAAGCTTCCCAGAGACTGGCTGGGATACCAACAGAATCAAAAGCAAAAGATTCATAGTTTATCAGGCTGAATCAATCCCCTTCCTGTTTCTAAAAAAGAACAAGAAAAAGAATTAGATGAATTCAAAACACCTTCACTATAAAGAAATTCTCGTGACTTTCCTGATTCAGACAGAGACAAACCAAGCTTCACCTGGAAAAGGAGAGAAAGTACATTCAAGAGCACAGTCTCTACCTGTCTCAAATCCTGTGCAACAAAGTGTGTGGCTGAGGCATTTATCCTTTTCTAATGATGTTCCTTCCATGATGTTTACCTCAAAACCACTCACTGAAGAAGTAGCAGAAGAGGTCTCACCTGAATTTTGAAAATTACAGTGAAAAACAGTTTCTCCTCTGGAGATCCTAAAATTCTTCAGGGTTCCATTTGCAGAGAAAGAGCTGGAGAAAAAAACATCTTAGTGAAAAATCATAAATCCCCCCCTAATCCATTCTAATGCCAATTAAACAACCAGTACCTTGAACTCAGGAGTGAAATTCCGCAGATTCTGTCAGGTTCTGGAAAACAGGTAGCGGACATTTTGAATAGTTCACAGAACTGGCAAATACCACCTCTTGCTGGCCCCACAGTGGGGTGGGAATGGAGATTTTGCAGTATCCTTATCCTGCCATGCCCACCAAGCCATGCCACATCATGCAAGGAGTTCTCTGCCTGGTTCCTGGGTGGACGTTCCCCTATTGGGCATGGTCTAGTCAGCCTCCTGCATCATGAGGGGGGCATTTTTGCCCTTCCCAGACTCTGGAGGCTTTTGTCAAGCCTCCGGGAGACCGAAAATGGCCTCCCCAGGCTCCAGAGTCCCTCGGGAGGCTGGTTTCTGGCCTTTTCGAATTTCCAGTAATGTCCACCCTCCCTGAGCCTCCATACATGTCCTGCCCTTACCTGCATCCAAAACGGGGCACGTGGGGATTCTTGGGGGGAGGCAGGGCAAGGTGGGCAGAGACAGCCCGGACTGGGATTTAGGGGTTCTCCAAACTGCACAGAATCTTAGCTAGAGGTTCTCCCAAACCCCTGCGATCCCCAGCAGCCCACCCCTGGAGAAAGTTATAGAGGGGTTTGAACTTTCTATTCTTTTTCCCTTGATGCTCTCTCTATTGTCCTTCCATATTTATGTAAGGACTGAGAAACTTTATATTTTGACATTTTTTAATTTTACTAAACATACAGAGGGCTCTGAGACCTACATCTTTGATGGCAGCAATTCCCACAGCATGGTCCATGGTGTGACATGATTTCTTGCCACATCCTTCCTGAAACTGGTTGAAGGGGACCTTGTGGACCCTCTTCTTTTTGGTTTGGCCTACCCATCTCTGAGACTGTGTGTGAATCCCCCCAAGATTGCCAGATGCTTGATTGATGTGGTTGGGAGTCCCTGGTTTTTAATGTCTCTGTGCCACTTTTTCTCTTGGGGTTACTTTTCTTATCTGGAGATGGAGAACATTGATATGCACACCTTGAGCCTACAAGAGTTAACTGGGGATTTGAGTGAGAGAGGGAAGCTGACCAAATAGATAGAACTATCCTGATCATGATAGGTTGAATATGGGTCATACTTGGTGACATCTGATCTGCTATTCAAAAGTTGACCCACTATATTTTTTTATTTATTTATTTTGTCGCATTTCTATGCCACCCAACTCCCAAGGGACTCTGGGCGGCTTACAATAAAGAATAAAACAATGCGAACAATCCCATAAAAAATGTTAAAAAGAAAAATATTAAAACATTAAAAACTTTAAAAACGTTAAAACACATGCACTCCTATTCGTGGATGGGTCTCGCAAGATAATTATAACGAGATCAACAGCCCCAGGCCTGCCAGAAGAGCCAGGTCTTCACTGCTTTGCAGAAGGCCAATAGGGTGGGGGTGGTCCGGACCTCAGGATGTAATTGTTTGCAGAGAGCCGGGGCAGCCACAGAGAAGGCCCTCTCCTGCGGGCCCACCAGCTGACATTGTTTAGCTGACAGGACCCAGAGGAGACCGACTCTGTGGGATCTTACTGGTCTCTGGGAGCTATGTGGTAGAAGGCGGTCTCGAAGATATCCTGGCCCTAAGACATATAGGGCTTTAAAGGTAATGACCAACACCTTGAATTGCACCTGGAGACCAATAGGGAGCCAGTGCAGCTCACGGAGAATTGGTGTAATGTGGGTGTATCTAGGCGCACCCACTATAACTTGGGCGGCTGCATTCTGGACCAACTGCCAGGAGTCACTGGCTCAAACTCCTCCCATACAATAGGACTAAGACACACCCCTGTCATCTCGGTCGGTATTGCCCAATCAGAGTCCAGGTCCATCCGAATCTGAGCAATTTTATCCAATGGAAACTGTACAAATTCCTCAGCTCTACCCTGCAAGGGTTCCTCCGTTCCCCCAACCTTAAGGAGGGAGCGAGTTACCCTAAATAGGGTGGTTGGCGATAATCAGCGGATGCCATAAGTATGGAAAAATGTGAACATTTTGCCGCCAGTATCACCACTAAGTAAGTCTTAACAAAGGCTCTTAAAAGCATTCGGTCGGATTCAGATTTACTGGTCCTCCAGCATCGCTCTAGACGTCTATTCTGGTGCTTCATCTCCCAGAGCTCCTCAGAAAACCAGGGAGCTTTCCTGGATCCGCTGCCATTGAGAGGCCGCAAAGGCGCAATCCGGTCCAATGCCCCAGACACCGCCTTATGCCTTACGGCCCTTGGCTTCTCCTCTCAGTGCCTGGCTATCAGATATTTGGTGGCTCTGGGTCCCAGCTGTTGTATTTGAATGCCAGGTTGATGCCTAACAAGGTTACTTTCACTGGATCTTCTCATTCAGACAAGGCCTCAGTAGTTGCCTAGATTGGGCAGGCGGACTGGTCCTTGGATCATCCTGTGGTAATCCTAGACTGTACTTTGATTTGCAGAGAAATGTCAAGAGATGAAACACCTAAAGGATTTTTTGAGAACATTGAAGGAAAACTCTAAGGGAATCTGATCAAACATATGTAAGAGGCCACATTAGAGATCACCTCATGCAGAGGTAGTATTCAGCCGGTTCGGATCGGTTCGGGCAAACCAGTAGTGGTGACCTATGGGCCGCCCACCCGCCCCGGTGCAATCCCATTCTATATCACTGTGTTATTGATACCGCATGGATGTGTGGACAGTGTGTGTGAGTGAATTGCCGTGTTGTTTGACATCGCACACATGTGTGGATGGTGCGTGCTCACATTTCCAGTGCTGGGCAAACCGGTAGCTACAGTATGTGAAACCCACCTCTGACCTCATGGTGATAAAGGTAGTGAAACACCCTTCCCACCCTCACTGTGTCTGCTGATAGCCATGTAGCAGCCATATGTAGAGTGGCCCAGTCCTTATTGGTTAGGGAGAATAAAGGAGAATATCTGTTGTTCAGGGTTGAAATGAAGGGTTCTTGGTGCTCTCTGAATCTGGTTGTTTTCTTGCAGATGTTTTATTACCCAAACCTACTCTTCCTTAACACAAACTGGTTAAGGAGAACCCTTCAGAACATCTGCTAAGCCTCTGAGAGGATTATTCAGGCTATGTGAAGGGTAAAATTGCTCAGATTTGTCCTGACCTGGGCAGGGAAGGGATCTGGGGAAAGGCCTGGTGATATGAAGTGGGAAGAGTTTGAGTTGGTGACTCCTAAGGAAGTGGACGAGGTTCCCTGCAAGTTTCGGATGGCCTCTGCAGTGCTGCTTTTTCAACAGTTTAGACCACTTCGTTCCTCGCCTAGGATATTGGGGAAATGAGTGATGGCCTTCCCTGGATTGCGTGGATTTCTGTTTGGTTTTTATCCTGGATTTTGTTATTCTTGCAATCTCCTTCACAATCTCTTACTGTACTGATTCTTGTTCTAACGTCTGAATTTGTGAAGCAAACAGTGTATTGGGTCTCATTTAAGTTTAACAACATAAAGAAAAAAATAAAATTATAAGCCTCTCTAACTGCATTAGGACAATGCCAAGCATGTTTTCTTTAAATCCACAAAGGAGGCTTGACAAAAGCCTCTGGAGTCCGAGGAGGGCAAAAACGCCCCCCCCGGGGTGCAGGAGGCTGACTAGGCCACTCCCACCATGGCCACGCCCACCCAGCAACTGGGCACAGAACCCCTTGCTAAAATTTTTGAAGCCCACCCCTGACTTCCTCCCAATTAAGCAAAAGGGATAGTCCACAGGCTGCTATTTTCCTGCTCTTAATCAAATCTCGTCTCAAAATTGGTATTTCTAGAAAAGATGGGAAATAAAATTTGACCTCAGTCACAAGCAATATTAAAATCAGCTCCAGTCAGGACAGCAGAAGTCATTATCTGGCTGTTGAAGTATCTTTATCCAGCATCACTTTCTGGACAAGATCTCGGCCAGTCCACCCAACTGCACTGGAAACAAGCCAACACCAGAACGGAATAAAGCAGTTGCAATCCTTTAATTAGGTTCAGCACAGCAAACACAGGCAGGAGAAAGGCACAAGCCGGAAACAAGGTTTAAAGTTAGCGCTACACACAATCGCAGTGTAGCGCCTTTTATATACACAGCAATAAATCAAGTGGCAATTAAACAGTTAACATCACCCCTCCTTCCCCTAGCTGGCCTGAAGGAGGAGCACAATAAATCAATTAACAATCAAACAGTCAACATCATCCCTCCTTCCTCAAGCTGGCCTGTAGGAGGAGCGCGCCTCTGTTACAGCACAAGGCAGCGTCATCTGCAAACACCATGCCCCCCCCATCTCCGATGAAAGAGTTTGCTTCGTTTTGTGTGCGGGTGGTAAAGACTTCTCAAACAGCTGATGACACGCCCCCGGAGAGTCCAACAGCTTGCCCCCTCCTCGTCGTCCTCCCTAGTGATGGCGAGACCCAACCGAGGCTCGACACAAGACCTGACAGGAAGGACCACAACCACAATAGAACATTATCCCAAAGGATGGATTTATGATTTTTCACTAAGATGTTCTTTTTTTCTCCAGCTCTTTCTCTGCAAATGGAGCCCTGAAGAATTATAGGATCCCCAGAGGAGAAGCTGTTTTTCACTGTAATTTTCAAAATTCAGATGAGACCTCTTCTGCTACTTTTTCAATCGCTGCTTTTGAGGTAAACATCATGGAAGGAAATCTTGCATTAGAAAAGCATAAATGCCTCAGCCACACACTTTGTGGCACAGGTTTTGAGACAGGTAGAGACTGTCCTCTTGAATGTACTTTCTCTCCTTTTCCAGGTGAAGCTTGGTTTGTCTCTGTCCGAATCAGGAACGTCAATAGAATTTATATATGGTGAAGGTGCTTTGACTTCGTCTAATTCCTTTTCTTGTTCTTTTTTAGAAACAGGAAGGGGATTGATTCAGCCCCATAAACTATGAATCTTCTGCTTATGATTCTGTTGGTATCCCAGCCAGTCTCTGGGAAGCTTAGAATGAAGTGTCCGCTGAATTTCAAGCACCAAGATGAAAAAAAGCCATGGAGCTATTACAGGCCAGGAGACCATCTCATTAGTATCATCAACACTGGAAAAAAATCATTCCGTACAACAACATTGCCTTTCAACAGGGCTCCTTATTGTCCGTTTGATATGTAAGTCATTCACTGTGATGGAGTTGCGTTCCCTGTATTTGCAGCTCTAACACCCTCATTCTTTTCTTCTTATTACGCTTATGTGTGTATTGTAGGCATAATTTCTTGAGTCATTTTTATTTCCATTGCTTCTCTTTTGTCTTATTTTTATATATACAGTATATAAAAGCTAAAATCCAAAAATGAAAAAAAATCCAGATTCTACAACTTTCCTGGTTTAATACTGAATGATAACATAAATACCAACTTTGGTTTAAAGTAGTAATTGAAAGGCTTGTAGTTGTCTCTGCCGAGCCCATGTCCATATTTTTATGACCACTATTCAATGCTTGATCCTTATAGGAATAAGAGATGTTTTGATTTGAGCATTCCCTGCTCTTCTGGGTTGTTATGAAACAAGCTCTTCCTATTAAAATGTTTCCTCTTTAATGATTGAATGAAAATCAGTTCTGCTACAAATAATGATTTATTTGTGATTCTTAAACTTAGTGGAACACTATTTCTATCTCATCTCCCCAACACTCATTAAAATGAAATGGTGGTGGCTTAAGACTCAAAAGACTTCTGGAAACAAAGAGAATACAATTCAAAAAGTATTTTGTTATTGCTGTTGATGATTATGATAACATGAACATTTTTTATGTTAGTTTACCTTACGAAAACTTTCGAGCACCACGCTATATTTTTAATATTCAAGTGGTGAACAAGACTCCTGGGCTCCTGCACAATCTCACACTTGGTTACAACATCCATGACAACTATTTGAACATACTTATGACTTCAGAAGCCTTGCTGGACATGCTCTCTACTGGAGAAGCCAATGTTCCCAACTACAGCTGTGGAAGGAAGGACAACATTTTGATTCTTGTTGATGGAGCTGCCGATGACATCTCCATTCAGATGTCAAGATTAGGAGCCACCTACAAAATCCCACAGGTTTGTATTTTTGTATTTAAATGGAATGTGGTGGTGGGTTGGTGTGTGATAGATCCAACCATATTTTCACTTTGGAATTGAAGAACTGCTTTTCACCATGGCTATCACTACAAAACGTAATTTCAAATTGGCAAGTGTTTCAATGAAGACATGCCTAAACATCTTAAGATGATATTTACACAAGCATTATTTCAGTACTGGACACAATGATTAAGTATGGAAGGTTTAAGCAAGTCACTTATAATGAACAGACTTGTATTTGCCGAACTCCAGAGATAGACAAAACACGTCTATTATTTCAAAGTCAGTTATAAAAGAGATCAATATCTTGAACCCTAGATTAGACTAACAACCTATTGGGGTCGTTATATTAAAACAACATATTTTTCGTTTAGTCAATATTAAAGAAGAACAGTCAATATGGCTCTTTATTTGAACAAAACATTTCAGTTGACAAGTGAACATTGGTCTGATTGCCATAAATTGTAGGTATCACACAGAAATATGATTTGCATTCTCTATTCTTATTTTTTTAAACCAATTTTGTTTTATACTATTGTTATATACAGTTTTGTTAATGCTATGCTTTTTATTCTTTATTTTCATATGGCTTAATGACTAATCAACAATAAACTTCTTGAATATGTTTAAGTGAACCAATCTGGATTACTTTCAAGTTAATATTTTGAAAATGATCTGACCTGAAATATAACCCAGTATTCTTCATTGCTTTTTCAGATCAGTTTTGAATTATTTTCAGATTTACTGCATGATAAAAGTCAATTGACCTTTTATCACCGCCTTTTCCCAAAAAAAGGGATCCTCTACCTAGGAATTGTCCAAGTGCTCCTTCATTTCAGATGGACCTTGATTGGTCTCTTTGCTTCAGACACAGAAAATGGAGATAATTTCATGAGGACTTTTACTCCTATGCTTATCAGGAATGGAATTTGTGTTGTTATATCACAACAATTCTCGACAAATCAATTTACAGCACCCCATGGTGATGCCTTCTCTAAGTGGAGACAAGTCAATGTCTATGTTCACTACATAGAATATGGTGCCATTGTTGAGAGGATTCTTCCTTTTCGTTTTATACTTAGGCATTTGCCGGGACCCATTGAAGGAAAAGTCTGGATCACAACACTCAATGGATTGTATCCACTGAGAGACCCCAGAGCTCTGAAACATGTAAATAATATCTGTACTGTTGATTTTGAGATTAAAAAAGGGCCAAAAAAGGATGCTTTTATTCCCAGATTCTTTTTGGATCCACCCTTTGGACATCAGTCATATGTCTGTTCTTTTTCAAAACATGTCTTTTCTGTCAAAGGCCGGAAAAGATGCACTGAGAAATCACCACTGGAGACCCAAAAGAAACAGAATACGGTGGAGGCCACGAATTTCCATCGTTATTACAGTGCCATTAATACTCTGGCCTATGCCTTGAATGATGCCTATTCCTCCAGATCTAGGAAGAGAAAGAAGAAGGGCAAAGGGAGCTTGGGGGCTCCAAGGCTTCAGCCATGGCAGGTATGGGGTCCCAACAAGGATCCATCAAACTTAGTTCCTTTGGAATTCTCCAAAAGAGGAGAACTGTATCAACCTATATGTGTTACAGAACTCCAACAAGTTTGGCCAATTTAATCACTCAGGCAATAATGTTCCCAAAAATGGGAATTATGAAAGATATAGTTTGATATTAAACATTGTTAATTTTTAAATGATACATGCATTTTAAATAAATTCCTATATGTATAGGTTTGTGATTAGCATTATAGAACTTTACCTTCATAAATGAAGGTAAAAGCAGCTCCTACTTGATTTCATTACTTTTCCTATAGCCAATCCAGTTTTTCAGCAATATTTTTTTCCAAGTGTGGTGTGTTTGATCGGGCGATGGAAGAGACAGGACTCAGTGCTAACAGTAACAACAGCTCTTTATTAGTAGATCAATGCAATCCAGCAGCTGGTTCGTCTGACTGCTTGCCCTTTTATAGGGAACTGTTGTTGTGGCCCACCAGTGGCCTGTGCGGATCGTGGCTGATCCCAATGAAGAGGAGGCTGGTGTGGTGTCACGTCAGCAGCCTGCACAGCTAGAGCTTGCGTCGGACAGCGAGAAGGCTGAAGAGGATGTGGTGCCAGAGGCAGAGACTCAGCCAGGGCCTTCAGAACCTCCAGAGGTTCGTACAGGTGGAGAGAGCAAAGTGGAGGAGCCTCTCCTCAATGCTTGAGCACACTGGGCTGCCAAAAGGCAGGAGTGGCTACTCAGGAGGAGGAGGTCTACTCAAGAGTAGGGCTTGAGGATAATTGGCCACTCCCTTAGCCTGTTTAAGTCACATGCAGCTAGTGCTTTTTTGCTGGAAACAACTCGTATTTATAATTAGAGTATTTTGGTTTATCATATCTTGCTTTCTGGGCTGGTTGCCAATCTTTGCCGGTCTTGTTTATTCTTGCTACTTAATAAATTTGATAAGGACCATTGGTGTGTGTCAATATCCTGGGAAATCCGGAGCTGGGGCAGAACAACTGTCAGACAGGTTGGCCAATAGGGTTTGAGTATTTTCCGGCCGGATTGGCAGACCTGAGTGAAGCCTATGCTCACTCCTATTCAATATGCAACACTCTATTCAATATGCAACATGGTACCTGCAAGGGGCAGTTGGGGTCTCCCCCGCCAAATCAATATTCATTTCCTGAGCTGTTTATGGAGGCATTTGCTTTCTTTCCATTAACATCACACTGCTGATTCACATTTAGTTTGCAAATCGACTACTATTTTGGGATCATTTTCACAATTCTTTAAATCAACTTTGGTATCATTCATCATTCTTGCTCTACATTTCACTTTTCTTCTATGTGGAAGACTTTCTATTTTCTAATTTCTCTTAAATTCCATTCAGGTTTTTTTTTTTAGCCTATTATGATAAATCATGAAGATGTATTTTCATTTTATGTCTGGTTCTAACTTAGACATTTAGACACCCAGTTTCCTATCAGTTACCACCAGTAGCCATGCAATTCCATTTCGTCGAAATCATTAATGACATTTTCATTAAACTTATTATATGATTATTATCAAATAAAATAAAAAATACTACTACTTCTAATTTATTGTTAGCTACCTTAAGTCATTCTGGGGGAACAAAAAGGGTCCAAATCCAACTAATAACAAATATGAGTTTGTTCTTCCATACCAGAGTTTGTTAACTAATTTTAGTTCTTCAATAGAAAGAACCTTGTCTTGGATACCTAGCTGGACCTTAAGAAAGATAGATAGATAGATAGATAGATAGATAGATAGATAGATAGATAGATAGATAGATAGATAGATAGATAGATAGACGATAGACGATAGACGATAGACGATAGACGATAGACGATAGACGATAGACGATAGACGATAGACGATAGACGATAGATGGATGGATGGATGGATGGATGGAAGGATGATCTCATTTGGATATGTTTATAATCTGGTCTACCAAGGAGGAGATTAGCCTGGCAACTTTCTTCTTGATAAATCCATGTTTTCTCGTAATCACCTGTTGTTTTCAAGGAGTTCATGAATGTTCTCTTTCTTTGTGCAATTTATTTATGACCTGCTTTAGAATGTTTCTTATAATCAACAACATTTTTCAATCATATTGTTTTCAAAACATGTATTGTCAATACGTGATTGACAAATTTTGCTGAACCTTTCTTTTTCATTTTTAAAGACAGAAACTTGTTCTCCTAAGAATATTTACAAGTGTAGAAGAAAGATTCAAATGAGAAGAGACAAAAAGGAATAAGTTACAATGTTTATTGATGTTGAAATTGCTTGATGTTCCCATTCTAGTTCCATCCCTTTCTGGAGAAGAATGAATTTGGCAATCTTTCCCATTACAAACTTTACTTGGACCAAAATGGGGATTTAAAGGCAGATATGAAGATCATGAGTTGGGTATATCTCCCCAAAAAGAATCTCATGAAAGACAAATTGGTGACTATTGAAAGACAGGGACTTACTATCAACCAAGATCACCTGTCATGGCTAAAGTTGCACAACAGGGTAGGAGAAATATTGGTGTCTTTTCTATTTTCCAAAGAGTTCCGATCCATTTCTTTGGGCTAAGCCTATGCACCATGGTGCAGTGTTGAAATGGAGAAGCTGCATGAAAATGGTAAGATAGGTCAAATGCTAGGGATTGTGATTCACTTATTC